AGTAAGAGAGAGAGAGAGAGAGAGAGAGAGAGAGAGAGTACAGTGTATTCACCCATTCTCATATGGAAGAATTTTTTCCATTTGATGGTCATCAAATAAGTGTTTAGTTCACTTCAAAACAAATAGAGATATAACTTCTGAGAGATCAGAGGAAAGCAGGGTGAACATCTGCCAGCTTCAAGCAGAAGGATTAGTTCCAAGACTTCTTTTTTTTCTGTTCTTTTTTTTTTTTTGAAAAAGCATTAGTTCCTAGACTTAATCAGCCAATCAATAACCAATGCAATTTTCTTTGAAAGTCATTGAGTTCAAACGAGATGTGATTACCAACTAAACTAATTTCATATGAGACGCCTTACACAAGGCACATACCCAATGGAAACTATATCCGATTTACATATTCTTGGTGCTTCAATTCTTGACATGCATGGAGAGATGTCTTGCACCAAACCTAGCATGAGACTCCAGCGGTCCTCTCCGGCAGATACCTCTTTAACTCCCTTTCTATCATGGTCAATCAAGGAAAAAGTTCTCCAACAAGGACTATTTGAATTTTGCCTTTTAACCTTTTTGCATGACCCATTTCATATGGAAACACAACATCAAGCATCTACCTTGCTCCACCAACCTTGGGAAAAGGTCCCAGTTTCCCCTCCTAACATCCAAGAATCCTTAAGTTTACAAACTTTTCCAATCCTTCCCTTAAATGAGAGTGCGCATCAACAATGCAAAGTGAACCCTTCCATGCCCAAATGAACACAATCAAATTAACCAAGTAGCTACATTGTCAAAATGAAAGCGCAAATAGCAATCTAACTCAAAGGCAACAGTATATCCCATGTTCGAATTCTATATTGACCTACCAACAAAAGAACTGATTAATTTGTCAAGGGAGCCTAACAGATGATATTTCAATTCCAGACAGAATATTTAATATTTAATACCTAACACCTAACTTATCTTTGACATTGTTCTGGATTTTATCCAATTTTACAGCCACAAAGTCAACAATATGGCTGTTTGCCATTTTGCTAATAAAGAAGTAGGGGAGATTCCACTAATGATTGGTGACGCATCCTCTTCTCCCTTTTCAAAAAGGACGTGCTAAGGAAACTAGAATGGGCTCTCAAGCCTAGACTCTAAATCTTAGGTGGCCTCCAAGGATTAGTTGGGGAGGCAATATACCGACAAGAATCCACCTCCAACTTTTAATAGCTATATCACATTTAGAGAGAATTTTCATCATAGCTCTTAGGACTAAAAATGACTACTAATTTCTCCCAACAACTCGCATAATTCTAAAACTTGGCCACAGGATCCGTGCACTTAGGCGGTGCTCCCCATCCCAAACTTGCAGTTTAATGGCATATCCTGCAGGACATACCCAATCATAACGAAAAACTACTCCAGCTGCCATAATCATTCCCAAAGAACTTCAAACAATATCAGCTGCAAGATTTCATACTAAACTCTATTATCTGAGAACCCACTCCTACTCTTCACCGGAAGCATAGCAACAATAGGCAGGAATGTTCTCTTTAAAACATGATACACTGAAAATTAGAGAAGAATCAATAATATCAGGAGCAAAGTTTCTCGTAATTCAAAACCCAAAAGATTACCAGAACCAAATAATGCTTCTAAGAGACCTGAGAAAAGAAAAAAGGAACTTAAAAGTATTCAAATTAAGGTAAGAATCTCAACAAATCCATTATATCTATCCAGAATTATTTCAAAGAGAATGGAAATAGTTGCAAGATATCAGGGACACTTGAAGTTTCAGAATCCCACAGTGACTTAACTGCAGTGCTGATGACTCTTAAAGTAGTAAAATTAGATGCTTCCAAAGAGTAGCTACTCAAGGGATATATGGTTAATTACCACTCCATATGCAACCATTAGTGACATTCTGAAACTAAACGAGATTTTGGACCTGCAACCATCTAATCCAAAGAAAATAACCAGGATTCCCACTTACATCGAAGATACAGATTCACAGCATGGCTCAAGAACCCACTCCCAGGAACTCCGTTCAACAAAGATGTGATTGGAACAAATGACATTGAAATCACATCAGGGTCCTGTGGAACTGTGTTTAGCCACTGGGTATGGGAAAGAGATAGGTTATTGTCGCTGCCCCCCCTTCTCTTGAATATCCAAGTAAGTTCCTGCATTGAAAGGATAAGAAAAAAGTCATTACAAATGTTAATAAATTTGCTAGAGATGCTGACATAATCTAATTTAGCTCACTAGAATCTGAAAAACTTGGAACAGTCTCGTCATGGAAGATTTGAACAGAATACCTCTTTGTAAGAGTCAGTTATGGATGAACTGGAATTTGCAAATCTCAACTTGTGTTCCCTGATATCAATCTGAAATAGAACCAGCCACTTCCATGCTAAGTAACAAGAGATTCCAGGAATACAATGGAAAAAAAACAATTCAGAAGGAAAAAAACATTCACCACAGATAAATGGCAAAGAAAGAGATATTAACAGGTTGAATTACAGAGTTCAGAATAAAAGAAATACCAAACTTACCTGCATCCCAATAGGCGTGAAAGCAATGAAACTGACCAAATATACTTGACCATGGCTAAAAAACTCCACCCATGAAAATGGTCAAATTGTCTTACATGCTACTCAAACCTAATCCAGTATGAAATAGAGATATCATAGGCAAACACATAATACAGTTTCTTCTTCTTTCTTCGTTTTGCCTTTTTTTGAGAAAGGTAGCACATAATACAGTTTTACTGATCAAAAAGAAAAAACTTTGACTGCTGTGACTGAAGAGATAGGGAGGAGTGATAGTGAAGGGAGGGCTAGGATATCGTTCGCTTAAGGAGGGTAATTAAGGGGCTAACATAAATTGCTGTAAAGGTACAAAACGATAGTAGATGCATAGTTTTGAACTTTATTCCAAGGAATTTTCAGTGAAAATGGATAGGCTTTAATGGGAAGTATAGCATGATTCTGAGAACTTCAAAAGATAAGTTGCATTATTTATACTCTCCCTGAAAAAAAAAATGATTGATTGGCTACTATGCTGTGGGTCTTTATGTTGTTTCTCTATTTTTTAACCTGTAATTAGCTACGTTACTCCTCGCTTCCTCTCTCTACTTCTCTCTCTCTCTTCTCTTTACAGTAATGTGACAAAATTTTAAGATAGAGGTGGACAGTAATGTGACAAAATTTTAAGATAGAGGTGGACAGTCAATCATGCACAGAAAAATGCATATGTCACATTCTGAATGAAGACAGTATTTGGAACAGAACATGGTGGGTAACACCCAAGCAAAAGATGAGTTTCTAGTGAAGAATTTGGTGGGATCACATAGAATGAGCATCTAGCTGATTCAAGAAATTTATGTAATGATAATATCTAGTTGCTTCAAGAAATCTATTTGTTTCTTGTGCTAAAAAACACTAATATTCAACCGATTGGTAAAATCTTCAAAGGAAATCCAGTAGGAAATTTATGGATTTTCTTAATTTTCTATAAATAGTATTGCTTCTTAATTTGTAAAATAAGGGCTTAGGAGTTGAAGAAAATTCAAAGCAACGTATTTTTTTTGTAACTTGTACTGTATATGATTTTTATCAGTTTTTCTGGTTTGCTGCACAACATGATATTGACATGTCAAACCTAGCTGAGTCGTAACTTAATTATATTGGCACTTTTCACTTCTTTAAAAAGGAGATCCCAAACTTCTTTACTTTTTATCTTCACCGTTGTTATTTGGAAGTTTTATCCACCTGAGTATAAAAATGACCTTTTCCATGGCTCTCTTTTGCAGTCATCTATGAGGCATCCACTTAAATACTAGCAGCAAATGAAATTTCAGGGTCCATAGTTTTCCTTTCTAATGCTAGTTTGAACTCACAGATTAAAATAATCAAACTCTGCAGTATTAGGCTGGAGTTCATTCTGGAAGAAAATGCTGACTATATTGAATTTAGGTTAACACATTGACCAGATGGTGAACAATATAGGTTATGTCAATCAAATGTTTTCCCATTACGACTGATGGTTTATGGATTTTTCTAGAATGGAAGGATCAAATGGTTTCCTCATAGAGAGAATCCGCAGCCTCTTTAGACTGCTCAAATGAGCATGTCATGGATCAGCTCAAATTTTCATCAACATTTTGCAAAAGGAGAAATCATCCAGTGCATCAGGGACCCGTACGGCCGTACGTTTACCAACTCAAATACTACAGGCCTACTACCCAAAGAATAAATAACTAAATAAATACTACAGGCCCGACAGATGATGAACAAGAAGCTAACCCTAGCTGAAAGATATCTCTAAATATGTGTTTCGTTTATGTAATGTAAGCCATGGTGCCGTGACGGACTTAGTTTAAGCCTTTAAGGTATCAAGATAGCTATGTGCACAGATTATGCGTTAACCTAACAAGGTCATAGCTAGCCTGTGAATCCCCTGTAAAAGGTCATTATTCGCACTCATTCTCGAAAAATCCAAAACCATCATTTTAATAGAATAACATCTTATTGACATCGTATATATTGTTTGCCAATTGCCATATAACCACTAAGACAACCTAACAAAACAAACTGAATACTTCATATAACAAACAGTTCATATAGCAAACTCTTTCTTTCAATAGGGATTCAACATAATAATGCAGATCTCAAGCATTTCAATCCATAAGTTCTAGTTAGCATTATTTGGGACACCATGGAGGAAAACTTCAGAAAATTTAGGGTGATTGATTGGAGTCCTCAGAGATGAAAATGAAACAGGGAACCATGGAAAATGACGGTTCAGTGTTCAATTCAATAAAGCTTCCAAAAAGAAGTAAAGGCCTCCAATTAAAAGAAGTAGAAAATGTCATGGCAATTAAGGGCATCTCAAAGTGTTTAACCTGAATATCAAGAAAGAGTGGCTTATAACGTGTATGGATCATATCCTGGTCAACTACTGTATGTGACAAATTCTGAAAGAAAACATAACAGTCTACGGCATGCTTCAAGTTACTGTCAATCAAATTTTGTAGACATGACAATGGTCAAAAAGGTCAGATCATGTGATCCTATATAAGTGTGTAAAACACTGTTGTCATAGGAAAATATCATTTTTATTTAGAAACTGACAAAGGTTTCCAAGAGGAGGATTGGGCAGAAACTGATTTTAGGCTCACTAAATATCTTGCAATGTCCAAAAGGAAAATCTTAAAGGAGTAAAAGATGGATTACTTTGTGGTTATTAATAAAAATAAGGTATAATTTTGGCAGTTGTTTAAAAAGCGGACCGCCCAGTGCCTAGGCGCTCCATAAGGCTTGGGCGCCTCTCCCAGGCCTAGGCGGGCTATCCCTGGCAGGCGCCCAGCACCCAACCCTGGGCGTAAATGCCCCTCGTTGAGGGCATTTTTTGGTCTTTTTTTTAATACTAAAACAGTAAAATCGTGGGTTTTAGGTTCATTTGAAACCTAAACCCCATTAGAACCTATTTTAGATATAGAAAAACCCCAACAAACTAGTATCAAAGGGTTTTTCAAAGTTACAAGAAATTGATCTAAGCATCACGCATTGATATTAGATTTAGTGGAATATCAGACTATGGACTTATGGCGTATGGCGGAGTATGTGCTATGTGGACTTGTGTATTATACATTTGATGTGCCCTAAACCCCTAACTCTTATGTGTTATACAATTATACTTATATTGATAGACTATAGAGACATTTTTCTTTCTACTGGGCCATCCAGGTACTGGGCGCCCGCCTAGGTGTTAAGTGGCCTGGAGAGTGTTTTTTGAAACACTGATTTTGGGGTTTTGTAAGTATACATATCTAGCTCAAAAACTTGGAGAAGATTGGATCATTGGAATTCAAGAAAGTGATACTCCATCACGAAAGATGGCAGTATTTTACAAGACATATGATGACTAAAACACATCAAGGCAGATTCTTTGGCAAAAGAGATTGGATGGTTAATGGGCAGTCTAATTGGTACAACCATAGCAAATGCAGATTTGTGCACCAAGTCCTTAAGCTAAGAAAAATCACAAATACTTACTGATAAATTTGATTTGGGGTGGTTGGGGTTGGGGCTTGCTTGTTGTAGTCTACAAACATGTATTTCATCGGTTATTGCATATGGACATGAATCAAAGAATTTTTACAAGATAAATAAAGATATTGTCAGTTTGTTACCCTCAAGGAATACCTTGTAGTTATTTGTACACAAAATATGCATAACGGGAATACGCACTCATTTCATGAATGAATCTGTTTCCACTCAATTTCACAATAATTGAAGAACTCATCTTATCATTAATTCAAAGATAGGAAGGAATGGGGTAGGGAAACAATTGCAGGAGAGCAAAGCAATAAAAATTTAAAGGGGTTGCCTAAGAATCACAGGAATTGGAAAAGGAATCGCTAAATGGAGGAGAATATGGCTTCCAAGACCCGTTATAGTGTTGAGCTGGGTATGCAATGAAGTTTTTGAAAGGTCAGCCAATGTGGAGCATCCAGTTCGAGACTGGGTGTGCGGAGTGCAACCCCTTCAACATAACAGGCGAAAGTGTGTTCAAGTCTCATGCAAGTGTTGTTCCCGAGGATATGTAGTCGCACCATCATCTTTTTTTTCAATGAGTCGTAGCACCATCATCTTTTTGCTATTAAGTAGTCATAGCACCATCATTTTTTCCTCTATTTCTATACATGCATTGATCATAGCTAGCAATGCATGTAACAATGTACTGTCAACCAAAAACTCAGTATTGATTTTGTTTCAGAGTAAAAGGAAAACCAATTCATAGAAACAGAGATCCAGTGAAAAAGGGCAAGATTACTTCATAGTTGACTGAAAACAAGAGTTGAAGAAATTGGATATTTGTGCATTTGTATGGATGTGTGCAATGGAGGGAAAAGGGGAAAATTTTCAGTTCACAATGTAAGTAACCATATACCAAACCAATATTAGATGAATAAAGTAAACCACAGATATAAAAAAACACAGAAGAGGAGATTTACGGCAATGCTTGGAAGCTTCTTTTGAAATAATATAACACAACAATTTCAGTTTTCCTTGAAAAACAAGTTTTCGCACATTGTTCTAAAATGCATGCCCTCAAAGACATTTTATAAGATGGAATATTTCTCACAGTACTTTTGATCTCACATAAATCAAAAAAGATCCAGGAGGGATCAACGAATCCATGATAAAAGTTGCATTCCAGTATCATACTGTATCAATCATGGTTTGTACCTTAGCAACTCCTATGCATCAAGAGTAACCTATTGATGAATGAACTTCAATGCATTAGAGTAATCTATTGGTGAATGTGACTTATATGAACCTAAATCACAACTCTAAGAAATTGACTGCGTCCTTTAATCAAATTTCTAATACAGCTAGTATTTAAAAAAATCAACCCAAGCACATAGTAAAGTGAATAAGCATGCCTCCAAACATCAATCCCTACTTTTAGGATATCTAATGTGACACTCAAGAGACTCCAACCATTTGCCCGCAATCATCAGAGACAACACATTCATCTAAACAAATAAACTTGGGAAATGATATGTAATCAATATTTGAAGAAAACAAGCATTGATACACACCTTGTCCTTTCCAAAGGTATCTTCTGAATCCAAGCTATTCCTCCCATTTGCATCTGAATATCTCTCATCAGCAATATCCTTCAGTCTTTTCTGAATTTCAGTAGGCTGAAGATTTGAGTTGTGCTGTTGCTTCACATAAACAACATCTTTACCACCCATTTTTACGCTTACTATGATATGTGTGCCATATTTTTCAATAAATCTGGAAGAAAGACCAAAAACAGAAAATGGTCAAACAAGCAAGGAACCTAAACATATCAAAATATGAAAATATAAGAATCCATCAATTTCTCTTTGTTGTATACTTGCATCAAAAAACCAATTAAAAAAAAATCACAAATTGCAGTTTCAAGCTCATCCAAGATTTGATCCTTAAAAGAAAAGTATAAACTTTTTATTAACAATAAAGGATAATTTATGTGACTAAACTATCTCAAAGCATTATTAATATGAAGCTGCCTAACTAAATGAGTATGAGAAAAGATGGTCCTTGAATAAATTGTGTTAGTCAGCGCAGAAGAGCCGAAAGTCTGGGCTTATCAACTTAACTATAATATATTGCATGATTGCGTGATTGTGCATTTACATATATATATATATATATAAAATAATGGCTTGCAATGGTTAAAAAGTAAAGGAAAGGCACGTAAAATTTAGGAAAAGGGATGGGGGTGTTGGAGGTGATACAGAAACATAGCAAATGCCGGTAAAGAGACCAAAAGTTGATAAGCTTGCTAGTTTAATGTGCATCTGGTAGCCTGAAATGATCTGCTTACCAGAAACCATCTGCTTGTTTACATCCATATCCGTCTTTCCGTTCATTTGTTTATATATTTATCTACTGCTAAATATTTATCTAAAGGGACCTTCCATACTGCCATGTTCAGGTTGGTGGAGCATCAAATTATGTCCATAAATCCATCACGCATCACATGCCGTGCATAACATTTTTTGCTAATGTCCAACATAATAAGATGAGGACATTCAATCCAAAAAGACTCCATTGCTGTCTCGAACATATCCGTCAGAAAAGAAAAATAAAATAAACATCTCCATGGATAACCATGAGCATGGTGAGAAAGTTCAGTGTAATAACTTTTCCCTTTTTTTTAATCTAACCAATATGGCTTGAGATTGAATTGAATCATGAACAAAAGGGATATATTAAATATTATAAGCAGCTTTATACTGGGAGTTTCAACAACAAAGCTCTTCAAACTCTACAAAAAATTGAATCCCATGGATTTACACAGTCACCGAGGACTGCATTGAATAAGATTAATTAGAATTCCTATACTTACATAGTTATATCTCCTTATCAGATACATTAACAATCAGAATTTTATAGATAACATAAGAACCTCAAAACAATGGGTATGTAACGAGGCAAGACAATATTTAATATATAACAAAGAACTCACATATCATCAAAAAGGCCACTATTATCACAAAGCAAGCCATGCAAATTCTTATTAAAAAGCAAGAAAAAAATGATCCAGATTCTTACCCAGCCAATGCAGCGGGGTCCCACGATGAGGGAACATCACGTTTAACATGATCACGAAGAGTTATCTGTGATTTTGCTAAAGCAACAGTGTAAAGAATTATGAACCACCCATCAAAGGCAAGATTTTTAGTGTTGGCTGCATCTTTCTGCCAGCCACCAGAAAATTCAAACATGGTATTGAATAATCCCGAAGGAATTTTACCAGACAATGACAATTCCTGATTGAACTGCTCTGACATCTGCAAACAACATTGATGTGCCAAATGATATAAACATGATGGCCAAAAATGTCCCTTTCCCCTTAAACTTGTAAGAAATTATTTCTTTTTTTAGGTAACAAATCATTTTACAAGCAGTTCTTTAAAAATAAGGGCATGCAAACCAATAGAATAACAGCTAATTACCCCCCAAAAATAGAACTAACTGCCAATGACAGAATGACAAAAGCCAAGTGTCATCGACATAAATCTCAAACTTTACTTCATGTAAAATAAAAACAGAAAAGATTATAAAATGGCCAGTGGTCTATGCATTCCTGCTCTGAAATTTGGCTTACTGTTTTCTCATGCTAGGGCAGGCTTTTCTTCCTAAGAATTTTCATCAGCACTGGTGAAGATAATATTTTCTGACAGATTTTTGGTGCAATAAAACGCAAAAAATAAATTAGTTTTTCAGATAATATAATTTCAATTAGGGGAAATTCAGATTCTCTTCATCAATCCTACTTCTAAAGAAAAGCTATATTTTCCCCTTTTCTTTCTATATCATTTGTCTTATCCACAGCTGACAAGCAACCATGCATATATTGTCGCTCATTCTTATCCACAACTCACAAGCAACCACGCATATATTGTCACTCATTCCATCTTTGATCAAGCTAACTGTTTTCTTTTCTTTTACTGTTTTTTTTTTTTTTTCTTTCTTTCCTGTTACTGATAAGTTAGCATGGATGGATAAGCTACAGGTTAGCTGGGTTCAAACCCACAACCTCAAGCTTGATGAAAAAAGAGCCTTCCAGTGGGGCTACAGGCAACATCATACCTAACTTTTGCTCACACAATTCTTATAATTAACTTCAGTCCAAGAGCTTGCTCTCTCTCTTTTTATTTCCCCCCTTAATTCCAAGGGCTATTTTCTTCACATTCTCTAGTAATAGTGTGTTTCTTCCATTTTATTGCATCCATTTAACTACTTGCTCAGTTAATCTACATTTTTACTGACTTATTTCAATCAATCCATTGTCTATTGTCCACACAGCAGCATGAAAATCAGAACAATTAGTTCCTGGGACAATATTCTTGACTTTAAAAGGTCAAACATGGCATCCATACAAAAGGGTATCATGGAACGAATACTTTCAAGAAAAAGATTTAACTCCTAATTGATTATCATTTAATAAAGCATCCTTTTCTTATAATAATGAACAAGAAGTAAGAAAGAATGGTGGAAAGAACCTTTTCATGCTTGCTAAAAATAAATGGCCAAAAGTTATGCGTACTAAGGAAGAAAAAAAAAAAAGGAAACGCATTGCAAACAGTAAATAGAATTATTCTCGGAGTAAATGGGAAGAACCCCAACCTTCTCTTTGCTTTTAACAGAAAATACCCAGAAACACCAAAACAGTCGAGAATTACCACGAAAATCAAATAATTTTGCATAATGGAATGATATTTTATACAAAGGAAAGAGCAAGAAATGAACACGAGAATAAATAAATAAACGGAGCCACGCTCTGATTACCTGTTGAAAAGAGAGAACATCAGACCTGAATCTCATCCTTTCTCCTTTATCACATTTTATCGATTTCGATACATTCTCCACCAGGATCCCACCAGGCAAAAAAACATCTCGCCCTTGATCTACATCCAACTTTATCAAGTGTGAATCAGGTGAATTTCCTTTGCAGTATTTGAGCCTCAGATCCTCAGTTATGTCGTAACCAAGCCCTATTGATTGAATTGCCTTTTGTGCCATGTCTTTATGACCATCACTCTCACAACCCTAGTTTTTTAGAACCTCAAATATCGCTATGAAATCCTGGTTTCCAAAAATGACGGGCCTCTGAGAACCAAGCCCAAAAATTTAATTCTGCTGATGATTCAGAGCCTAAACCCGAGTTTCTCTGCAAGTGCTATGAGCTAAATCCAATCTCCTGCAGATTTTGTAAACCTTTTTGTGGTAATATATAGGAAAAAGAACTTGCTGTACTATGAATGTTGAAGAACGAAGCCTGATAGATTTGGACCTGAAACCATGCAGGTGTTTCAGAATTAATATAACTCTCTGAGATTGGAAATGGAGTTAACACTAGTCCCCGCAAATGCATGAAATTGAACAGAATTCTTCCACTTTGATTGTCAAAATAAAAGTTTGAGCTCTGCAAATGAGAGCTAAATCTTTGAAAGTTGGAACTTGATTTGCTACTGATCACTTTACAACCCCAGGGAAGCAAAGCAATATTTTTTTCACAAGCCAGACCAGGAACCAAAACGCAATCCTCATTAACCTTCAAGAAAGGCTGAATCCACTAAAAATATACCTTCTCAATAAACTCTAACTTCGAATAAAACCTAGCCAAAACTCCAGGTAGAATCGAGAAACCGAACCCTAAAACTTCAGATGCTCGCAAATGCAGAAAACATCAAAAGCCTCAACCCAAAAATTTCATAAACCCAACTAGAATCGAGCTTCTGCAATAGTTGCAGAGCTGTAAAACTTCTTCGTTGAAAGGAAACACTAATTTCCTTAGAGCTCAGAAAATACTTCAGAACTGAAATGGTGTCCTGCTGCGTCTCTGCAAGTGACCAGAGAACTGATCCAAGATTTGTACAATGGGAAAATAAACCCTAACTTTCTGCAAATAAACCCTAATTGCAGAGAAAAGACGCAAGATTCGTACCAAATAGACGACCCTGTTGGTTGCAGAAGAGACAGAGAGAGAAAGTGAGAGCTTTGAAGGTCTTAGAGGTCAAAGCCTGTAAAGAGATGGAAAAGTCTCTGATGAGCGTCAAACTAGTGGGTTAAAAAAATCAGTGATATGACGAAAGTACCCCAGATTTTCTAGTTCATTTGCACAAATGGTTAGGAGATTAACGTAAATATCCCACAAATTTTAAGACATTCAGAAGAGATTTTTACTAAATTTTTTTTTTTTTCCAAAATCAAAGATTCATTCCCCATATATACTTTACATGTCCTTGTTTTCTTTTTCTTTTTTTTCTAAAATACCCTATATTCGGATTTTCAGAATCCAGACCGCAACTATTAAAAAAGTGGATTAGAAATTGAAATTGTAAACAAGTTTTTTTATGAACCAACCAGTTCGAATTTTGAAATTATGAAATATGTTTGGTGTCTTAAAACCATTGAAAACCAAGGCTCAATCAGCACACTCACTAAAAAAAAATTAAGATGATAAATTATAATATGCTTTTCTTTTAATTTTAGTTAAATATAGTTCAATTTCTACTGGGGTTTTGAAACCCCACGATCCGGATCAGATTCAAGGGGTGGACATCCCATGTCACCGGAAACCCCTCATCCCATGTCACCGGAAACCCCTCACTTCTACTTTTTCTTTTTTCATTTTTCAAATGATTTCCCACCATTCAGTAAATCCATATCCCCGATCCAGCGGTTTGGATCTAAGCGGATGATCGAAAACCTTATTCAAGTTTTAAAACACTGGTTTTTTTAGAGCTCATGGTGCTTGTCAAAAACACCAATAGCTCCAACTAAAACTAAAAGTTTATCATACTTCCAGTTGCATGATTTTAGAGCCCCGAGTTTGTCAATTCTTCCATGTATCCTTAGTCATAGGGCAGTTGTATCCTTAGTCATAGGGCAGTTGTTTGATTTTAAGAAAAAAACAAAAACCTCACATGTACCATTGTTTTCTTCAAAATATGGTCCAATATTGATCCATGCTTTCTATAAAATCTCAATCTAAATGGGGAATATACTAAATACCAAGTCTGAAGATTCAATCCAATTTGTCTATTTCCTATATTTTCAATTTAAATATATCATTAGGCAGTAATTAATGTACAAGCCAAGGAAATCAAACTTTTGTAACCAGGGTTAGCATATTTCCTTATGTTTCTTACTACAAAGGTGACTAGGCAGCATTCCATGAAGAAAAAATATCTTTGTACTTGTTATTGTTGATAATTTGTAGTTTCAATGAAGGAAAATTACTTTGTGGGTCAGGGATGCAATTCTGCATTTGCTGCCCCTGACGCATGATATATCCATCCTAAAATATTTATTTTAGGATGTGATGTGAAAAAGTCATAGTCTCACATTGAAACAAAATTGATGGTCAAAATTTTTCCTTCGAAAACAGTCAATTGTAAATTTTAAAATTTAATTATTTTTACATAATAATTCTCCCCACCTTGGAGATTATATATTTCTAAAAAATTAAGTTCAAAATCCATCCTAAAAATAAATGAGAGAGTGTATACATCCACATATGAGTCAACCAACTCATACAAACACGTCTTTCAATAAAATAAATTCTTACAGTAAATTATATGTTATTTGGTAATGTCTCTCATAAAATTAACATATATGAATTTATTGGCATTTTTATATAGAAGTTTGTCTTTTCGAGAATATGTTTTTACTCTATTTACTATATTCAAAGTGAATTGTTGAAAAAAATGTATTTTTAGTAAAAAAATAACTAAAAGTAGTTGAAATTTGGCAAAGATGCGAATAATTATGTAATATTATGTATAATACAAAATAAATACCAAATAGTTAACAAAATAATATTACGAAGAGTATACGAGTTCCATGCAGTGTTTTAAAACATAGACTGGTGGGGTGAATTGTTCACCCACATTTTGTGTTAGATCACTGGGTTGGTGATCCAAATCGGGTTTGAATCGGTTTGATTCGGCGATCCAAAAATATTTTAAATAAATAAAATAAAAACATGAGTTTATGGGGTGGGATTTTAAGGGACTTAAAAACCCATTAGACAATCTTAAAAATTATAATAAACATTATATAAGAGTGGGAATTTTAGGGGGACAACCATGTTGGGACCATACCATCCATAACTAGTTCGATCCCCATTGAGGAACACTGATTTCACGTAAGATGATCTACTAATGACAAGATTAATTAGTATCCAATTCGGCCCTAGTGTGCTCGAATGGGAGCACAACTAGGATTTGCATTGTATGGCCATGAATCAAACTTGATTCCCTTCTTGGCCGTGTTCTTCCCCACCCCAAAAAATACAAATGACCACGAAAAGGTTAATTCAATTTATTTAACATTAGTAGTGATGTTTTGTAAGTTTCATTTCACATAGATACCTCCTAAAAAAAACAAAAAGAGAGAGAAGAAAGGAACAACCAAATTGCTATTATTTAAGTTTGAAAATCTTAAACAAGTAGGGGTGTTTTATTAACTACTATACGAGTGACATGAATAAGTGAAAATAAAAAGGTATGGTTTGCACCTTAAACAATCAAATTAAGGTGCATCTCTAAATTTTATAATAAGATGTAATTTTGGTGCCAAAAATTCTTAGGTGACTTCAAAATCTATTTTTAGCTCTAATTATAAACTCTTAAACTCCAAAAATTGTTTAAATCAAGTAGATTTATAAACAAATAAAATATTGAAAATGAACGTTCTAGATAATTTGTTGCAAGAAGCACTATTATTTAGACTCATTTTTTTTTTATATCCATACATTTTGATGTCAAGATGATTTAGTAAAAGGGTTTCCAACATCAAAACGACATTTTTTTATAGAGTTTTGATGTGCACATTAATTCTACATTTTAAAGTCGCAACCTTGTATAAACTTCAAGAAAATTACCCCTAATTGTTCACAATTAGCATAGAACATGGATTTACAATGAAAAAACATGAAATTTCATTTAACGAACGAACAACTAAAGGTATTTTTGTTATTTGATCGTTTCATATTACCAATTTGAATGAAGAAGGTTTTCCAGTCATTTGGCCAAGCTACTGAACAATGAATGGGTTGCTTTTAGTATATTTCAAGAGGTATTGATTGAAAATAAAATTTAAAAAAGCAACACCCATGCCAATGGATGTGATTTGACCCCCCTTCACATTTTTTAAAGGAAAAATTAAGTGTGGATTATATTTCCACCTCTTTATTACGAGATGGTCCATATCTTTGCAAAAACCTATTTCGAGACCAACCTCAACCACCATCCTTTCCAGCGACGTCGACACCCTAAAGAACTTTGACCTTTGGAGCTGTTCAAGATTACCAGCACCGAACAACCCAACATATAAAACTATACGATGTTTTTGACATCAAATACACCTTGAATAAGAAAAAGTAGAAAAATAAAAAATAAAAAATTATGAGATCTCTAAAAAGAAAGTATGGTGGGTGGGGGTGGTTTTGTTGTAATTCCGGGGTAAAATTTGGACTATGCTGTAATAAAAAGCCCAATTATATCCTGTAATAAACAAGCCCAATTAGGCTCCCTTATTTGTTTTGTCAAGGAAGAAACTTCCCCATTGGGTAAATTTGTAGACTTGGCTGTTGGACTTGAAAAGTCGCCCATTTTTCCTAAAAACCATAAAACGAGAGTCTAAAACAGCGGCTTTGACTTGAACGGATGCGTGTGATCATCTGGACCGTCCATAAGCAACTTTTAGAGATCCTAGTGGGTTTCAGCCAGGCAAACCCTGACCACCATAAACAGCAAACTTGGTCTCCTTCCACTTTTCATTCTCTTTATCTCTTTTTTTCTTGCATGTGTTTTGCATTTATTTTGTGGGACATGGTTCCATGGGTCTTAGAGGTCAAATGAGTCCCCTCTTGAAAAAATTTATTTTTTATATGGATTTTGGATTTAATTGTTAGGGATATATAATGTCTAACATGGACATCATGAATATGAAAAAATAAATAAATAAATTTTAAAAAATTAAAATGATAATTTCATGAAGAAATATGTGGACGATTGTTTTTAACTTTTTTTGGAGGGACCACACTATGTTTGATGTAAGCAAGAAAAAGAATAAGACAAAGAGTACACGTTACTTAAGAGTGTCCAATTTTGAATATGCATTCTAATGGTAAATAACACCATTCTGGTGTACTTCATTTAAGTATAGATGAATTCTCTTTGATTTGTGGCCTCGGGTTGACAGAGCAGGATGAGCCCAAAGGCCTTGAACTTTAAAGATTAATTTGGATGACTAGTGTTCATCGCAGATGTGAGGATATTTTAATATTTTTTTGGGTATTTTTTTGTGCGCTTAAGTGAAGCATATGTGTATCCCTAAAAATTAAGGTCCATCATATTTGTAAAAAAATTCAAATCAAATAACTAGCCACCATATAGCCATTAGATTGTTCTAAATTCAATCGAATGTAGTAATTTTCCCTTCGAGTATATTTTATATTTTCGGGGATTTAAAGCATGCAAGTATGCCACACACCGGGTGAACAATCTCTACCGTCCATCATCGAGTGAAAGGTTGTAAATGCTCTTGTCTTGTGGAATTTACCAAACTCAACACGTGCATGGGGGGCATAGCCTTGACAATTCAATTGTGCAATTAAATATTTCAAAAGGGAAGGTCCAAACACAAGCAATTGACCAAAAGGCGGCTAATTTGCCATTCACTTCAAGTCTATGCCACGTGGCCAAAAGGTCATGTCATTTTATTTATTTTTTTCTTTTAAATGTTTATTTTTAAATTAGTTATTTATATGAGAATAAATAAAAATATTTATAAGAAATTACTTATTTAAGGATGATGTTTTTATAGCGCCCTGGCTGTGTGAAAACAAAATAAAGTCTCGCCTCAATTCTTCATCTAGAAAGTATTTTGAAATCTTTATGATGGCTCTAAAATCAATTTTCGATATCGACAATAAATTTGAAACTAAAAAAAGATATAAATCTTTCGGATTTTTTAACACTTATTTTTAGAGAAAAATAAATGATCAAGATAATTTG